AAACATTATTGTGACACTACAGTATGCATATGAGGGCACAGTAACATTTTCAAGGCAACACAATTTTAATTTGGAATACCACTCTATAGCTTTAATGAATCGAGAAATGTCTTTAGTGTCTATATTAGTGATATCAGATAGATATTTTAACAATTGAGAAGTCTTAAATTCTACAGAAAATAAAAACAACAAATAAATATATATGTAATATGTAGTTTATCACGGTTTTATTAAAGTGAAAAATTATTAAATATATTGTATATATGGACAAATTTTTGGTGGAACTAATAACAATTATATAACCTGTTAAAATCATGTAATATTTAAGCGCTATATGCGATTTTAATAACAATTGTCACAGTATTTCCATTTCATATGAATCCGTTTGTAATAAGTACTTTCTAAATTTGATTTAATTAAAACCGTTTCTCTTTATTACGGGTATTTCAAACGAATAAATTTATAAACTCATTGCAAAGCTCAAAAAATAAATATGAAATGAAAATGTTTTTGGTAAATTCATTTGTATTTTTGCATGGACTGCACTTCCAAAGCCGAAACCGATTGCAATTTTGATTTTTGGAAACAAAATTATTAACACCGACGTGAATGCAAAGGAAAGTTGTCCTGTGGTTATTCATTCTCTACGTTATTAGCACAAAACCGCATATTGATTTTTCGTAATGAATGGTGTTGTACTTTTAGTTATGATTGGTAGGTAATACATTTCTGAAGAGGTGGAAGCATATCAAATATTGAAAACAAAATGGGGAATGAACAATGTTTACAAAAATAAATAACATCCCAGTTCTGGGATTTTCGAAACATTTTTTTTAATAACTTTGCTTTAGCGTTCACTCCATCTAAATTTTAATAAACAAACTTTTGTGATTATGATACTTACTATACAATATGGAATTTGTATTGCTCCCTACAGAATCATTGCAATGCATTGCCTTTTCAACTGCATTTCAAAAGAATGAGATTTGTGTTTGTTTCCGATAAGTAACATAATGGTTCAAGCTGCACTTAATGAATAAGTGATGAAATGCACTTCAGAAAGTAAATTTGTACAAGGCTTAATCAAGGTAAAATGATGAGAAAGCTTTCATTAAATGGAAAATTAATGGAAATTTGCCAGGTAAACACCAAAAATCGAGGGAAATACCATTGCGAACTAAAAACAGCAATTTTGACCCGAAAAAGATAGCGTAAGGTAAAGGACTTTGAATGAGTAACACAATGAATAAAGGCAGCAGTGATACTCTTTTTAACAAACACATGCCAGAAGCCATATTTACCTACCATTTCCTAATTTTTCTTATAAGAATATTAGACTTCTAGTCTTAGTAAATACATCCATCCTGTTTATGCATCTATACTCTCTAGACATACGTCTGAACTGGAGTAATCAATATGTTAATAACAAAAAATGATTAGTTATTAATTTCAAAAAATTTAAAAGCACTTTATTTAAAAACAAATTAAAGAACTGCATATATTAGCATGTATTAGTGCTATTCAAGTTATAGAACTAATTACATAGTGTTCGAAGCAGAATAGAGTAGCTGAAATGATTTCAATACTTCTTATTTTTGTTCTGCAACCAATAGTTAGAATGCTAGAACCATTAAACTATTTGAATATTTCATATTATATGAGCGCTTCGTGTCATTTACAATTTTAGAGTTAAACTTATTGACCTATACTATTATTGGACTATAAATTCTTCAATTTATGAATTCCCTCTTTATCGTAGTTTTACAGAAGATCTGCAAAATAGCCCACTATGGCAAACATCACCTCTTCTTATCTTTATATCATCGTTCGCAGATTTTATACATTTGTTACTTACCTACTCACTGACCTGATAAAACTTTCTTCTTTCAAAATTAATTACATAGTTAAGTTCATAGATTTATTTGGTTAGTACATTTTTACTTAAATATGAAGGACTCTTCCAGTTTTTTTCGATGTTGTCTGTGCGTCTACTATTTGGGTCCATATACCTATTGGGGTAATCTACTTCATCCGGTGTTTGAATCAACACCGGGTTAAGACAACGCGGATCCGAACAACAAGTCACTATCCGTAGTATTAATTTGACTTTATTGTGAAAAGTCGCCACTCCCATTTTAGTACTATTACCGAAAAAGGATAGATGAAGGCGTAATATTTTGCTCCTACCTTTTTTGCATCTTATTTGTTATAATGTGTTTATTGTAAGCAGCAAATATATAAATATTTTCAAACTTAAACATTATTATTATTGTTAGGGGATGTGGCACTGCGACCAACGGGTCTATTGTTGTCCCTTTTGGGCTTAGAGTAGATCTTTAAACCCTGTTGCGTTAATAAAAAGTAGTACAGAACCTACTTTAAAGAGTTTTATTTACAGAGTTTTATTATAAATTGATGTACTATTTTTTTTTATTTCAATTATTAACACATTTATGCATTAAGCACTTATTTTAGTATAAACTTAACTTAAATAAATGCTAATTTATGTTATTTATCAAACATTTAATTTCTAAACTTGTAATATAAATTTGTAATATGTAAATGTGATTTTAAATGTGCAACTACATAACCTTATATAAATACTTATAAATTATAAATTGAATAAATAAACATAAATAAATACAAAATATGATTTAACTGTGAAATATGCGAATATTCTTTTAACAAATATTATTCAATTTTCTATGCAAAAATATTATTTTGAATTTTCTATAAAATTTAAATCAAAACAAAAATAAAAAATACAGTCATGTTTATTTCATTTTTATATATATTAAATTAAGTTTGTTTATAACACATTTGGCATAAATCAGATATAAAATCAAGCTTAAATTTAATGTAGCATTTAAATATTTTTCACGCCATTTAATTCGATACCCTTTTACATGCTGTTTTAGCGCAGATAACGTAAGTCATTCAAGGTCCTTGTCATACGC